GGGGTTGGGAAACGCCACGGGGCACTGGCTGGAGGAGAGGAGCTGGGGTGGGGGGCAGTGTGGGACGCGTCCTGCTGTGCCCAGCCAATGTGCCCTTGCCGGCCCCTTGGCACAGGGGAGCCCCGTCTCCACGGCCCGCTCAGCTCTTGAGCTCGGGTGAGTTCCAGTGATTGGCCTGAGCTCCGGGACGGGCTCACTTCCCAGTGAGGACCTTCACCAGACCCACCCCCTAGGAAATCCTGGCCCATTTCCCATTCCCTGAGCCAGCCGCACCGAGTCAACTTCTCGCCCCCGCAGAGCCTGGGTTGGAATTCTCTGTAGTCCAGTCGCCCGCCCCTGAGCCAGCTAGTTCCCCTGTCTTAGGGCCATGTCACAGCTGATGTCCCCTGGAAAGGAGAAGCCCCACAGCCTCTCCTATGCCCACCCCGAACCTGCCAGTCCCCCCTCCCTGGGCTGGGTTGGAGCCTGTTACTGCTATGGCAGAAACATCTCAAATCCCCTTCCCAGACCACCCATCAGTTCATCTTTGCCCCAACCACACACGCCGCTTTTTCTCCTTTCAGCCCTGCAGGCGGTGCCAAGCTGCTCGCACTTACTGCAGAAGGAGCTGTTCCTCCAGGCAGAGACAGCCGCCCCGGCGGCCTGGCAGGCTGCGGCGTAGCTGGTGAGAAGCTGGCATGTCACAGCTTGTCGGCCTTGGAAGAAGCAATAGTCGTACACGCAGTCTTGGAAGTAGCCCTGCGGGTCGACTTTGCTGTGACACTCTCGGAAGGGGCCGCTCTTGTCTAGGAGGAGCCCGCACTCCTGACTTACTCCTCGTTGGCGTCTCTCCACAGCTGCTAGATCTGAGCACTCGTCCTTGGCAACCTCCACACAGCCTGGGATATCTGCCACCTTCCAGCTCTGCCCAAAGGCCGTTGGGTTTGGGGCCAACCTGCCACCCCTCATGGTCAAGTCATCTCCCTTGTCCCCATTCAAGTTCCCGCAGAGTCCGCACAGGGCGCCGGCGTAGCTGCTTGGCGCAGAGACGGTGATCCGGCTCTGCCAGTCAAAGGTGACGGTGAGACCGAAGTCGCTCTGGATCACTGCTTCCTGCCCCCTCCGGTACATGGAGATCTTGCTGCTGTTGTGGCTGTACGGTAGGTTGGTCAGCACGCCATTCACCTGGGAGTAGGGGCCAAAGGGTCAGTGAGAACGGTTTGACACTGGGCAAGGAGCTTTGAACCTGCAGAACCTGCTTCCCTAAAGAACTTTCACAGTCGAGCTGACTGAAGAGAAACCCAGAGGGTGAATTCTGTAGTCGCTTCCACTTTGGTCAGTTTTTATTTTCCCTTTTTAAAAAAGGCTTTTAAACTATGTTTCCATTTCCCGGTAGCAGGATAAAGGGGCTTGGGGTGTTTTAGAATTTGTATTGATTCCAAAACCAAACATTTGTGAAAACTGCCACCATTTTGTCCCCAGAACATCTGATTAAAATTGCTTATGCCAGTCTTCCAAATAGACCCACTGCGCCGGGACCGGGGATGGAGCAAGAAGAATAAGATATGAGGATACACAGGGAAGGCAACAGCCGGGCTGGACCCTGGGAAAGGTGCATGTGTTGGACTGACTGTGCTCCCAGAAGGGACGGGGCCTCAGGCAGAAGCGGCAGGGACAGGAGAGCCAGACTCAGCGCCACCCTGAGCGCACCAGGCTCCCCGTGCTGTCCTAGCATGGCCTGGATTGCGCTGCAGGGCACTGCCATGGCGACTGAAAGGGCTGAGGGCTCCGGGCTCTGTGGAATCACCAGGCGCCGGGGCAGGTGCTCCCTCTGCCTGCCAACATGCTGCCTGTCAGCAGGCCTGTGGGTACAATGGCAGTGCCAGAGAAAGGTCATGAATCTGAGGGGAAATGACTTGCAAGCCATGGGGGTTGGCTTTCCCCTGAAGGGAGGATTTTGCAGCAGATTATGCAGTTTCTGAAACTTTAAAATTTAGAACAGAAAATTTTTATTTTGCTGAAAATGTTCCATTTTTCAGAGGGGAAACACCACAATGAAACATTCATTGTAGGTCAGTGGGACCTGAACTGGAATATTTCATTTTTTAACTGACCCACAAGGTTTCACTGTAAATCAGTTAAAAAGAAATGAAGAGTCTGGTCCCTGCTGTGCATTGCCTTATGGGAGTTGTAGTTCCACTCCCCATGCTCACAGACGGGCTGGGCTTCCTGTAATAGAAATCCACTGCCTTCAGCTTCTGGGGATCACATGAGCCTACTTCAGCTACAGTCCCCTGGGAACAAATGGTGTCAGGAGCTACAGCTCCTCTCAGGCAGTAGGGAATCAAGATTATGTTGAACGGTAGCTCAGCAAACTGGAGCAAAGCATTTCTCTTGGAGGGGCTTGACATGTCTGATTGACTCGAAGGCACCAGGATGTCAAAGTTCCACATTTCAGCTTTTTGCCCCACTGTGGGAGAGAGACAGATTTAGAAATGTCTGTGAGGCACACGTTCCACACCTGCCTCAGCTCAGCGAGCCAGGCCGATGGACATGGAGAAGGCCCCGTTTGGGCAACAATGCCGACACTGAGCTTGGGATGATTATCCACCTACAATTGTGTCTGGGCTGGGGGAACTAAGCTGAGCTGCCAGGTGCCCAGGGTTTGACTGGAGAGTCCACTCTGAGGGGGGACCTGGCAGTGCCTGCTCAGCTATGCTGGCCACACATGAACGGTAGGTTATCACGGGCGGGAGAAGAGGCAGCTCTTGTGGCACCGGCTCAGGTGGCCCCTTGGAGGAGCTGCAGCAAAGGACAGAGTGCAGTGCCCCCCATGAGCAGGCTACGAGATTCCCAGCAGATACGGAACATCGCCTGTGAGGGAAGGAACACGAGCTTCCTCACCAGCCAGTGCTTTCCCCAGCTGCGCGCTAAGGGCTCACCTTGGGGAGAAGAGGGCTGCTGGGCCCTGGAATGGACAGGCAGGTCACAGGGAAGCAAAAGGTTGCCGTGCAGGAGGGCTGTGTCCTAGCTCACCAGCAGGGCTGCTCATCTCACCAGGCAGCCGTCTGCAGGAGAGGTTGCAAGTCCCTTGGGGCTGCTCATGCTGGAGTTGACCGGGGAAAGCAGTAAGCAATGGGGGAGGGGCTGTATGAGAGTGCAAGGGATGGGGCCTTGGAGAAGAGGTGAGGCAGGAGCAGAACCTCAGGAGAAGAAGCAGGATGGGCAGGGCCTCAGGAGATGAGGGGGGAAGGAGTGGGAACTCAGGAGAAGAGGCGGGGCAGAGGCGAGAGTTCAGGAGAAGAGGTGGGGCACTTTTGAGGAAGATGGCAAAGGAAAACAGGTCTGAAGACCAACCAGGAAAGGGAAGAATGGTTTGATAAACTCACCAGGACTCTGCCGGGGTTTTCCCTTCTGATCACAATGTCGACCTCATAGATTTTGATTTGCACGACTTTGGTGAAGGACACGACGCGGCTTCCCCGATGGTCGTTCTGAACAAGGACCTGGAAATCCACCAGGTCCTGGCTTTTGTTGCACAGCCCAGCGAACTGATACAGGCAGGTGCCCTGGAAGTCAAACTTCTTCCCATCAAAGCTGATGTAGTGGGGGTCCCCCGAAGCTGAGCAGGTTCCATAGCTTGTGGGGTAGCAGTCCTGGATGCCGTTCTGCACCTGGCACTGCTCCCCGGCCCGGCACCCTGCGACGTGGCAGCTTGCCCTCCTGGTTTGCGGGTCACAGACACAGCGTCTCGTGCAGGCACCATCTCCCCAGAACTGCTCCCCGGGCGCGTAGAGGCGGCCCTCAAACTCACACCCACATCCGGTCTGGAGGATGCACCTCTCAGCATCCAGCACGAAACCCTCGTGGCACTGGCAGGTCTCCACGCAGGGCAGGGAGCAGTTCTTAGGGGCCACTCGGTCATTGCAGGTGGCAGGACACGCAGAGCCACAAGCATTATACTGGCTGTTCTCAGGGCAGGGCAGAGCTGTCAGAAGGACAGAAGGACACTGAGGTCACTGGGAATAGTGCTCCCCAGTAGCATGAAACCATTTGGTACAGGTCTGGGGGGCAGTGGGAAATTCTGCATCTAGAGCAGCCTCTTGCGGTATTCCTGGATCTGCAGTGAGCTCTAACCCATAGAACAGGGGATGTCACAGCCCCGATCCAGGGCTTGGCCCAATCTCCCTTTACAAGATAGAGGAAATGGGGCTCCCCCCTCCACTGGAGAAGGTGATTCTGCAGGCTGACAGACCTCATCATTTTCCTTTCCCTTCACCATCTCCCGTTACACGTCACTGGGACTCGTGTGAACATTCCCACCCTGCGTCTCACCTCTGAACTTCTGAGCGGCTTCTCTGTCCACTGCTTCTGCCTGCTCTGCATGCTCAAGGCATAGAGCTATAGCAGCAAACGCCGCGTGGGACACTGCTCATACCAGCAAATGAGTTCCTATGTGGATCTAGCACCCGCCATTTCCCCAGTGCGTTAAGCTGTGATGGCAAAAGGGCTTTGCTATTTCCAGCCGGCGTCACCCATGTTCAAGAAAGATCAACTCAGCCTGGGGCAGGAGCAGAGAGGGGCTCATAGGATGGCAGGGGGACGGAGAGTGGCTCATTTAATGTGGCAAATGGAGGGGATGTGATCGCTCTCCATAAATACGTTGAGGCAAACACCTGAGGGGGAAGAGGCATTTAAACAAAAGATTGGCACAAGGATAAAGGAGGCCAGACCAGTGGTGGGGCAACCTGCATCCCACAGGCCACATGCAGCCCATCGGGGTTCTGTGTGTGGCCTGCGAGATGTTTTGTTTACTGTTGCCCACACGCAGGGTTGCCAAATTCCCCTGGTTTTTGTCCATGTTGGGTTTTTTCCTACTGGAATTACTAAAGTGACACACATATAAAGCAAGACTATGTGAAATGAGATGCGTGCTGATTTCACACAATATTGACAGTGAGAGCTGTGCGTTCCCTCGTCATCCAATCAAATTGCTGCTACGATTCAGTCAACATACCCAGCAAATTCTAGGTGCACAAGTGCTTTTGCAAAGCTACCCTATCCTGGGAGACTGTTTTGGTTACAACAGTCTTGTGACTCACTGAAATCAAGGAGGGCTGGTCATATGGCCACTCACTAGGCTAGGTTGTCCATCACTGGGCTAAACTGTCCATGAATCAGTTTAGATTTGAAATTAGAAGGTTTCTAACCATCCGTGCAGAGTGAGGTTCTCAAACAGATTTGTAATAGGAGCAGTTGGGTAAAGAACCTAAGTAATTTGAAGGTGGAGTTTGATAGCTTTATGAATGGGATTGTATGATGGGATAGCTGTAAGAGGAGGAACTGAATGCGATGATCCACAAAGACCCTTGTGGTCCTAAGTCGCTGTGTTTGTTGGTATAATTGAGTCTACTCTAAGGTTGTTGCTAATATTAAAATATCACAAGGGAACAAAGTCCACATTTCCATTATTATACCAGAATGTTTCTGGCATAGATCAGGCCTAAGACATCAGTTAGCCAAGCTTTGTACAGGCAGAGCTTTGACTGTCTCCTTCTTATTTCATTTCCTGTCTCTTTATTTATTTGCTTTGGCCAATTTTCAAATTCCCTCAACAGCCAAGGCTGAGGTTGGAATCTCTGCTGAAATCAAAGAATCATAGAATCATAGAACACTAGAACTCGAAGGACTCTCGAGAGGTCATCAAGTCCAGTCTCCTGCCCCCATGGCAGGACCAAGCACCATCTAAACCATCCCTAAGGGTATGTCAACACTAGCCCCCTAGTTCGAACTAGGGAGGCTAATGTAGGCATTCAAACTTGCAAATGAAGCCCGGGATTTAAATATCCCGGGCTTTATTTGCATGTTCCTGTCTGGTTGCCATTTTTAAATGCTACTAGTCTGGACTAACTGCCCACGGCTACACGTGGCAGTTAAACGGTAATTCGAACTAAGTCCTTAGTTCGAATTACCTGTTACTCCTCCTGGTTCAAACTAGGGGACTAGTGTAGACATACCCTGACAGATGTTTATCTAACCTGCTCTTAAACATTTCACAGCCTCCCTAGGCAATTTATTCCTGTCAGGAAGTTTTTCCTAATGTCCAACTCAAACCTCCCTTGCTGCAATTTATCCCACTGCTTCTTGTCCTATCCTCAGATACTGAAGAGAATCATTTTCTCTCTCCTCCTTGTAACATCTTGTTATGTGCTTGAAATCTGTTATCATGTCCCCTCTCAGTCTTCTCTTTTCCAGACTTAACAAGCCCTGTTCTTTCAATCTTCCCTCACAGGTCATGTCCTCTAGACCTTTAATCATTGTCTCCACTTATCTCCAATTTATCCACATCTTTCCTGAAATGTGGTGCCCAGAACTGGAACCATCTCATTATTGTTTATTTCTAGGTATCTAACAAACAGTGCAGCTATGAAAAGGAGACTGAGCTGTTCAACAGAAACAGCTGGGCACCACTACACAAAGGTGTGCTACAGAGTGATCAGTTCTCATGGTGCCATTCCAAAGGCATGACACACCTATCTGTGCAGTCCTACCACATCCATGCTACCCCTCCGCCTCCATATTTTCCATGCAGTTCTACAAATCTCTTTAGGCTCTTTAGACCTGGGGGTCTGTTCGACATTTACTTCAAACTCTGCTATTAAAACCTGCTGTCATTAACTCATGAGGCAGCTTCCATTTGTCACCCAGGATGTACTCACAGCACCCTGTGGGAGTCCTCCAGTCAGAGACGGCAGCGCCCTCGGCCCGGCAGGCATCGGCGTAGCTCGTCAGCGCCTGGCACAGCATCTCCTTCCGCCCGTCGTTCATGCACAGGTCATAGACACAGTTGTCCAGGTAGATTTTGGGGTCGATCATGGAGTGGCATCGGCTGAAGGGGCCGCCCGCCCCTTTGGTGATCCAGCCACAGAAAGGCTCCGCTTTGTACCTGCCGACCTGCTCCGGGGAACAGCTCTTGCACTGCCCATGGCAGTCGTCCCAGCAGAACCTGTCCCCGTCCTCCACCTTCCAGCTCCTCCCAAATTCAATGGGGCTGGCAGCCAGCACCCCGGCCGGGGTGGCAAAGTCATCTCCGGGGTCCCCATTGTAGTTGCCACAGAGGCCACACACGCTATCTGAGAAGCTGCTGGAGAGCTTCACCACCAGGTAGCTGTTCCAGTCATAGGAGACCCTCAGAGAGAAGTCAGTGTGGATGACCACAGAGCCCCCGCTCTGATACACCTTCAGTTTCCCCTCAAGCAGAGAGATGGGGAGGCGGGACCGCTGGGCATTCACCTAGGAAGGGAAACACAGGAAACGGACATTGGTTTGGGTGCCTTACCCCAAGGAATCTGGCACAGTGAGGGACTTTCTGGCCCTGCGCTGAAGTTGCTATATGCCACTGCAGTACAAGTAATAAATGATGATAGGTTGAGATTTGCAAAATTAACTAGGGGACTTTGCCACCAACAGGAGCCCAGTGGCTATGTACCTGCACACCCAAGTGAGTCATGAAATCTCCACCACAGATTTTTCCATACAAAGCCACCACATGGCTTGATATGCTCTGCTGAAGGCAGAGTAGAGAGCTGCAAAGCTGAACGATGCAGGCATGGTGGGGAATCCCAGAGCTGGTATAGAGGGCAGGGGGAGACTGTGGATCTGGATTAAAGAGCACCAGTGGAGCTGTGTGTATGTGGGGCGCCAAGCACTGGGGTTGGTCAGGACTGAGGGACATTGTAGAGCAGGGTGAGAACAGCAGGTGAATTGCTTTTCAGATCTACAAGTATGAATCTCTATAGTAAATTTTTGCAGCAGCCGCCTCTAGCAGACGTGGTTTCATGGTAGCATCACCAAATTCACCCATAAAACATGAACAGAAAACACAGTATCAGTATTCATTTTGCTCTCTTACCCTCACGAACCCTGTATCATATCGGACCACTGAGACAGTGACATTATAGACCTCAACCGTCACATGACCAACATAGGAGACACGTGTGTTGCCCCTGTTGTCATTCTTGGCCTTGATACTGAATGGTGGGAGAGTTGAGTCTGGGCCACAGGTCTTGGCGATGGTGTAGGTGCAGGTGCCCATGAAGTCGAAATTCTGCCCATCGAAGGTGTGATAATGTGGGTCCCCCTGAGCCCAGCAGGTGGATTCGGACTTAGGCACACATACTGGATAGCCATTGACAATCTGACATGTCTCTTTCTTCCTGCATTGAACAGTGCTGCAGGATGGAGTCGGGTTACCTAGAAAGATTCAACAAGGCAATTGTACAAGAACTCACTTACACCATGTACTCTGTTTGTTCGCAGTGCACTTTTACAAGTGCTAGGTGCTCTGTGCAGGGTGAGAGGGGCTGATAAACAAAGGAGAGAGGGCTGGTTCTCAGGCTATGTGCAGCCTCTTTGAATATATATGTTGTCACATCCCATTCTAAGGGGGATTTCTGGGGGAGCAGAGCTGGATTTTATATACATCCCAGAACGACTTACCGCATGCAGAAATGCCTGATGAGCCATATCCACCATACTGATTCACTCCAAAGCTCAGCAAACCAAAGGGAGAGTTCGGGTGCTGTATGGAATGTGCCCCAGTCCCTGTGCCGAAGAAGTACTGTCCATAAGAATATTCTGTGCCAGGGATCTGTCTCCACTGCACATTCTGTGTGGCTCTCTGATCAGCAGTGATCCTGGTGGACTCTGAGCTTTTCACTATGATCAGCACATGGTTCTCAAAGTCTTTCATCCCTTCAATATGGTAGGACTGGCAGTAGCTAGTGATGGGTGGGATGTTGATGAAGAATGGGTCATACGTGGATTTCCTATGTTTAGCACCAGTGAAAAAGAGAAGAACCTGGATTCCGGCATTAGCAGAGATGTACAGTGGGTGAGAAACTCGGATTTCAAACATGACTATCTGCCCGGCTACCATATTGCGAGAAGCTGATGTGGGCCCTGACTGATAGTCAATGAGAGTGTTTTGAGAAGCAACGATGTAGGCAGTGTCAAATCTGGACTGGAAGGACACAGGAGGTACGATGTACCTGGTGCCCCAGCTGGAGACCGGCAGCAGCTGTTCAACAACATAATCACAAGCGGTGTTTTGGGCAGCACAGGTGTTTCCGCTCAAAACGGCCACATGTTCCCGAGACTCAATCTTGGTACCGGATAAATCCGCAGAGCTTTGCAACTGCAAGGCTTGGTAGGGAGCAAGGGCTACAGTGAGTTTACTCCCAGCAGAATAGCGCTGTCCTTTGAACACCACAGCCCCTTTCAGATAAATATCTACTGAAGTGGGAGCCAGCCCTGCTATGACAGCAAACTCTCTGAAGGCGTTTGAATGTTTACTAGGTGGCGTTACAATGTAATATATAGTTCCCAGCTTGTCAGTGGGGTACACGACAGTGGTATCAATGGAATTGGGTTTTGAGTTAACAGACAGGACAGAGATCTCTTTGTCAGCCCGAATCAGGATGGTGCTAGCGGATGTTGTGCTGCCAAACATCTCTACAGAGGCTGGGATCTGCACTGTCACCGTCTGTCCTGCTCCAACAGGTGTCACGCTCCGGAATGTACCCTTGTTCACCATCACAGTAACCATAGTGGAAGTGTGGTAACCAGTGACAAGCAGCTTGCAATCTGCTCTGACACTTTTGACATAGTTTTGTGTGAAGACCGTAAGGAATTCTTTGCCACGGACACTCGCTCTGCAAAGACCTGAAAGCAACAGTTTGTGGGTTAAGGAAGAAACTCAGACACCCCCCATGAACCCCATTGTCCCAATGTTCGCAGAGTAAGAGACCCTCCTCACCTACCAGAGGTGGGAGCCAAATGCTGAAGTTCTGATTCTCAGACCCTCTTGGTTCAACCTAGACCTCACATTCCATACAGACTTAAAAATAGAAACCAGCAGCCTTGTCTTCCAGACCCCTCTGCTCAGAGCTGGTACTAGGCCTAAGCAGACTAAGCAACTCCCAGATGGCTCCCATTTGCTTTTTATAATAAGAACTTGCCTTTGGGGGGGGGATGTTCTGGCCCCAGGCCCACATTGGACTATGGCTCTGCCTTTGCTGTAACCATTAGGAGGAGCATTGCCAGCAGATCCAGAGATGTCATTATTCCCCTTTATTCGGCTCTGGTGAGGCCACATCTGGAGTATTGTGTCCAGTTCTGGCCTCCCCACTACAAAAAGGATGTGGACGCATTGGAGAGGGTCCAGTGGAGGGCAACCAAAATGATTAGGGGGCTGGAGCATATGACTTATGAGGAGAGGCTGAGGGAGTTGGGTCTGTTTAGTCTGCAGAAGAGAACAGTGAGGGGGGATTTGATAGCAGCCTTCAACTTCCTGAAGGGAGGTTCCAAATAGGATGGAGAGAGGCTGTTCTCAGTAGTGACAGATGGCAGAACAAGGAGCAATGGTCTCAAGTTGCGGTGGGAGAGGTCCAGGTTGGATATTATGAAAAACTATTTCACCAGGAGAGTGGTGAAGCACTGGAATGGGTTACCTAGGGAAGTAGTGGAGTCTCCATCCCTAGAGATTTTTAAGTCTCGGCTTAACAAAGCCCTGGCTGGGTTGATTTAGTTGGGATTGGTCCTGCCTAGGGCAGGGGGCTGGACTTGATGACCTTCTGAGGTCTCTTCCAGCTCTATGGTTCTATTAGATTATTACTCTCCTCCCAGAGAAGGGAGAACCCAAAAAAGAGACCTAATGAAATATAAGTAAGGTTTGAATGAGCTCTCACTTGACAGCTAGTGATGAATTTTGGGGGAAAGTCATTGGGACCAGACTCTGTTTGCATGAACACACCCATTCTGCCTAGCTACACAGCAGACGGGGTGTGTTGCCACAGTGATTAGTTTTGGCAGATGCTGGGTTTCAAATCACTTGATTATTGAGTGCGGGGGCAATGAAATGTTTTTCTCCTGATTGTATCAGTAAAGAGCAGCAGAAATGCACTTAGCCTGAATGCACTCCTGATTCAGGGAGTCACTTTGAACTGAACTGAACTGAACTGAACTGAACTTACTGAGCAGTAAGTTCAGAAGCCAGTTCCTAGTGGAGAGTGAGGAGGGTGAGGACAAGCGTTCCTGCCAGGTGGCATGAGCTTTGCCTAAGAGTTTTACATGCCTGTGATAAACATCCAATATTCTTTATGAAAATATGCGTGATATGAATATGATGTAACTGAGAATCTACGTTAGGCAAGGTGGCTCGTGTAAGGCATCATTGGAAAAGCTGTGTGTCTTGGTTGGAACCTGGCAGCAGAAGGTGTTAATGCAGGGCCATTGGTGATGGAAAGGTCTGAGTGACGGTGGAGTGAATGATGGCGTAATGAACAACAGCAGCAAAGTAAATAATGGTGCAACTGAATATGACCCTCTCAGTCGTATGCATACGTCATTTTTGTATCTGAACTCAAGAATATGACATTTCACAATGCTGCACTGGGTCACTCCCACTGCCGACACTTCAGAGACTACAATGAAAAAGTCAGACAGGGCTGATGGCCAATCGGCTAGTGCAATGGACCATCAATAGGCTTGGCCTTCTTGCAGATGCTCCACACTGCTATGCCCCCAAGGATGCTGTACCTGGTTAGGAGATTCTAAGCTGTATCTAGGATTGCCAAACTCTTCCAAAGGGGAAAAGGGGTCAGACAAAGGATTCCCGTCTTATGGAAATTCTATAGAAGGAGGAGGAGGAACTCAATCTTTTTACTGGCTTCATCTCTGCTCCCCATCCCAAAGAGAAACTTGAAAATATCTGGAAACAAAATGACTGTGACTGACAGGGGAAGAACTGCTGGACTCAGGTTAGAAAAGACACCTCTGGCCTGTGAAAAACTATCTGAAACAATCATTAGGGTGAGAAATTATTATGTGTAGTCATTCTTGGTAGTGAATCTAGTTTAGATTGCATGTTTTGTAATATTTTCTCTGTAATCTGCCTTGCTCTCTTTGAGACTCCTTTGACCACTTAAAATACACATTTTAAAGCTAATAAACTTATTTCTGGTTTATAGTATAACCCATTTTAAGCAATTTTTAATGGGAGGGGGGTAACAAGAGTCTGTTCATACCTTCCTCCACATTGAGGGGGGAGGTGAATTCATATAACTTGGGGTGTATATCTCCGGGAGGGGGTGAACATATGGGTGCTGGAGTAAGTCCCTTAAAATGACTCCTCCCAGAGCTAATCTCAGAGTTTATATCATTCTGCAGATGGGGTGATCCTGCCTGTGTGAATGCTGGAGGAGGTGGAGGCGCTTGGCTCAGCAAGACAGGAGCCAACAGGGCCCAGAAGGGCAGAAAAAGGGAGGCTCAGAGGTATCTTTAGCACCTCAGTTGACAGCACAGGGATCACAAGCTGTTACAATATCATTAACCTATTTAGAGATAGAGCTAACTGTGCTCCCATGAGAGCTATTTTGTTTTGCTTTGTTAAGTGGGCAATAGGGCCAAAATCACCAATCAGGAGCAAGCACCGTTTAGACCTGATGTAGGCCAGCGTTTCTGTGGAAGAGACTGCCAGCCTGCACTGGCCATGAGCTTCCCCTATCGTGTGCTCAGGTGGCTGGGTGCTGAAATCCCTGGCATCTGGCTGCAACTAAGGATGTTAACTAGCAGTTAGTTAACTAGTCGATAGGCACTTCCACATTCCTCCTTTGAAATGTACATGGGCCCCTTCAAAGGAGGAATGTGGAAATTTGAGTGCAGCCCAGGGCCAGCAGGAAGTCCCATTGACCCCGGGCTGCATGCAGGTGCCAGCTTTGAAATGCACAAGAGTCCCTAGCAGGGGCTCTAGTGCATTTCAAAGTGGCAGAGCAGCATGGAGCCTGGGGACAGTGGGGGACTCTGAGTCCCCTGATGACCTCAGGCTCCATGAGGGTGCTTCCACTTTGAATTGCACAAGAGCCCCCACTGGGGATCTTCATCAGTGAAAGAGAGTAGCAACCACTGTGCAGCTATTATGCTTATAATAGTACATGGGATCTTTTTAGGGGCATGGCATTTCCGTGAACTCTGGGCGCCACATGCACAGCGCCACACAACGGTGTGGCCCTGCCATTTTGAAGTACCCTCTCTCTTCCCCCCCTCCCCCTCCCACCATTTACTGCCTCTATCTCAGAGAAGCAGCAAGGGAGGGAATTGATTAGTCAACTGATCGACTAGTCCTTAACATCCCTAGCTGGAACCTCAAGAGGCCGAGCTGGCAGCAGAAGGGGATGCTGCAAGGCCCTTGGGGATGGAGAGGGTGATGGCCTCAGGGGAGACTGGTGACTGAAGGAATGACAGCAGCAGAGTAAATGATGGTGCAATGGCGGCAGCAATGCAGAGTGAACGGCAGCAACTGTGAGCCGGTTGCCATGGCAGCTGCAGAGAAGGTGTTGCTTCACATGCGCACACCTCTGAACTCTGGTCTTCAGCTGCCATGAGTGGGGTATGGCAGAGAGAGAGGGGATTGGTTGTTAATGGGACATTTATTTACTGGACTTCTGCACCACAGGGTGAGAACAGAGGCAAGTGACATTGCCCCCAGTGTATCCTGAGATGGAAGTTTAGCTCAGTCAGAAGTGGTCAAATCATGGTTAGTTTGTTTTCCCAAATTAATGCCAGGTTCCTTTCTCCTATTTATTAAAACATTTCTCTGGTACATGTAGCCTCAGTGCTCGCAAGTAGGGAAGTGTTGCCTCTGAGAGGCACCCAGGTTAGCGTTTCATTTTCCTGGATTATTGGGTTGGGCTCAAGCTGTATGTTATTGTTAGGAGTATTGTTATTGTTCTGAATATTGAATCTGGAGCTTGCTGCTGCCAACCCCATCTGGCAGAAGGGTCACACAAGCATAAGAGAGAAAGCCCTAATACAAGCTAGACAAAAGAACGAAAAGGCTTAAGTGTGAAAAAGACCAGACCTGAAGAAAGCAACTCAGCCTCTATTGAAAACAAGGACAACGGAAGACAAACATGAAGAAAATGAAACACAAAGATATGTCACCAAACGCAAGAAAGAAAAAGACCATACGTGAAGAAGACAGAAAAGAAGGAAGATGACAACCAAACATGAAGAAACTAAAAAAAATGAAGGAGAAGAATGACTGGCAATGAACGAGAAAAAAGACTGAGCCAAAAGAATCAGAAAAAGATAAGAGTCAGCCTAAAGAAACCCAAACTTGAAGTCAACTAAGTGAGAAGGACAAAAAACATCATGAATTTGAAACAAAACATCAAATAAAAAAGGAATAAATGAACATAAAGAGGAAGCTGAGGAAGACAAAGCAAAAAGATGATAGCACAAAGAAGACTAAAAAGGAAGAGAAAAAAAATCCAAGAAAACAGTGGAAAAAACATTACATTTTTCTGTTGAAATTTTTCAAAACACAAAACAATTCAAGTTGGAGAAACCCATTCGTTTTGCAAAAAATATTTAAAAAAAAATTTCAATGAGATTTTTTTTCTTTTAAGAAATCAGAAACCAGCCCTAGACCTCTCCTACTGTAACTTGAGACCATTTAATTGTTCTGCCATCCGTCACTACTGTGAACAACCTTTCTCCATCCTCATAAGAACATAAGAACAGCCATACTGGGTCAGAGCAAAGGTC